CACTTTGTACAGCAAACCATCAATTTATATTTGGTGTACCTCATATTGCTTTCTCCTCTTGTCTCTTCTATATGCAGAGTGGCCATAACTCCTTTGCATACCATGAGTTCATGGGGACAAGAACAGTAACAGTGCATGTGAATCCGTTTAATTAAATTACCTTGTCATATATCTTTGGGTATTTTAAGTCACTGTGAAAAATAGATCATTGTCTTCTTTAATGGCAAGAGAAACACTAAAAAAAGATTTTTATTTTTTTTTCAATAGATCACCCCTTTTTTCCTTTTATTGTGTGTTCTTCAATAGATCTTGACTTCCGAATGTGTCTTTTTGGACTGATACCACAGAGTTTGACCTGGATTTCCATAGAACATTAGTTGCTCCAGTTGACACTGAAAACTAATTACATTCAGTAGGCCAAAAACAATAAAGAAAGAAAACAAATATTATGTGGTAAATGCCTAAGTATATGATCATGGACTGATCCCTCGGCCTGTTTGGACCTTCTCGGGTCTCAACGGATTTGACCTATTCAAGTATATGGCCCGTTTAAGGTCCACCATAATCCCAATTTTATGATCGACAAAAAGAAAAAGACAAACCAATAACTACAAGATGGTTGCAAGATGCCGTAAAAATAGATTCCTGCCTTCATCACTTCACCACTATATGCACACATACACATGCAAAATGGACGAACTGTAACGATGCAATGTAAATTAATTGCAAAACAAGAGTTGGATTAAAGCAAACCTTACCAAAAAATCAGGACACCTGTTCCAAGCGTTCACCATCAACTGAGCACCTTGAACTGGGGGTGAAGTCTCAAACTGCACTAAGCAAATCAAGGACTACTCATAAAGACATGCTCTGGTTCATAGTGACTTCATGATCTGCACCAAGAAACAAACAAGTCTTCTTGGAGGTTTAGCCTCTTTTATACAGTATAGGAATTTACTGGGACAAGTTGATGTTTAATAGTGGTTTAGCATGGTTACCTGATGTGAGAGAACAGAAGAAACAGAGTGTCCTGCCCCTTAGAATGGACAGATACGAAGGGAAAACCCACTCTTCACTGTTAATTCCAAGAATAGACCATTGCATTTCAAGGAAATGAAGAATCATCCTTTTGCTACTTATAAATTCATATTATATTTGATAAAACATGCAGGGTATCCTGGAAAGTCACCTTAATCTCTTAAGGTTTTTCACTGAAGACAATTTTAAGTAAATCCCATGTGGCTGTAGATTCAAGTCAGCTATTGAAATAAGAGAGAGTAAGCTATGATACTATTTCCCACTAATCTTGTGAAATGTTTGTGCAACTGCACAATGGCATGTGGCTTTCAGGACGTTCATAGTCTATGGAGTAAAAGTTTGCTCAATCAGAAGAAAAAGTAATAGAACAAAAGGAAGATCATAGACATGATCCACGACTTTTGGCAGTCTAATTTTCCACCAACAGTTTGGATCTTTAACAAGAACAAGCTACGAGAAAATAGAACTTATCGAAGTCACAAACTACGAGTCTGATACGAACAAACAGATATTGGAAATACCTAGAAATAGTACAAAATGTATCAGGACTTAAACAGTACAAGAAACAGATATGAAACGAAACAGAAGGAGAATTTTATAACATGTATCAGGACCTAAACAGTACAAAATGCCAAAATTCACAGAAATAGGCTAAGAGAATCAAGCTTGCCTAATTGCTTGATAACATTCCATCGCAACGTAAACATCGTGACTATGTTAAATCAATATTGGAAATACCAAGAAAATGGGGAAAAAGGTTCTTCTTAAAGTTCCATGTACATAACAACACCACCAGTGCATGTCACATTCTATTCTCCCGAGCATGAATATCAATCAAGGAGAAGAAGGAATAGCGTGTTTGTCATCTAATAGCCATTAAATACATTGCCATAATTTAGAAGATGGATTTTCACGCAATACAAATTAGAACATGCACTAGGATATCACTGTTATTAGAAATAAATGAAAAGGATTCATTCATGTAGCTCACCCCAAATAGTTGGGATTATAACCCTCTGTACTTGTTAATGATGCTTTTGTATGGCCTAATTGCTTATATACCATGAAAGACCCACTGACATCATCTCCATTTCATGCACTCTACAAAAAAATAGACTCCAAGTTATAGCAACATAACAGAAGTATGACTCAAGTATGAATAGATAGATGTAAGCAGCATAAAAGCAAAGATCTTACAGATTGGTTCCACAGTT